ACCTTCTGTGGTCCTGGCTTCTCTTTAAAGCTGTTAAGTTTATTTATCGTTGTTTTGTTTTATTCTTTGTTTTTGTGGAAACGCGGTCTCCCTATGTTGGCCAGGCTGGTCTCGAACTCCTGGCTTCAGGTGATCCTGCCACCTCGGCCTCCCAAAGTGTTGGGATTACAGGCGTGAGCCACCGCGCCCGGCCCGTTGTTTTTCTTTATATCTGGCCAGCGGTGTTAACGTTTTGTTTGAACTGGAAAGATAGCTTTGTTTCTTTGCAAGTTAAGAAACGGATTATGGAATTCTTTTCCGGTCGTTTTAATAACTTCCTAGGCAGTGTTGGGGAGGGACTGACCGACTTGAAATCCGGACCAGTGACACTGACACTTACCAGCCTTGTGCCTTCCAAATATTAACTTTAATTTCTGAAAGTTGTAGATGAATTATTGTGATGATACAGCGTTAATTTGTAGTTTTTGGTGGAACTGATTGTTCTAAGGCTTTGTAAGATTCTTCATTTCATGATCACTGATTCTGATCTGTCTTTTTCAAATGCTTGCCCTCAGAATGAGAATTGAGTGCCAACATGGTGAAACCCCATCTTAACTGAAAATACAAAAATTAGCCGGGCGTGGTGGTGCGCTTGTAGCCCCAGCTTCTCAGGAGGCTGAGGCAGGAGAATCGCTTGAGCCTGGGAGGCAGAGGTTGCATGAGCCGACATCTCGACACTGCATTCCAGCCTGGGTGGCAGAGTGAGACTGTCTCAAAAAAAAAAGTCCATTAACAGTTTATGAATTATTTAGGCATCTCCTCTATCAAGGGATTGAATGAAGCAGGAGAAAAAATTACCCTTTAGTGTTGGTTCCAGGCTAATGGATATAATTAGACTTTTTTTTTTTTTTTTTTTTTTGAGACAGGGTCTCACTCTGTCACCCAGGCTGGAGTGCAGTGGCGAGATTGCTCACTGCAGCTTTGACCTCTGAGGCTCAAACAAAACTCTGGCCAGAATTAATTATGGTTATTGGTCCCTGAAACAGGTTGCACAGGAGATCAACAAAGCTCCTTCTCTGGAGTGCTAAGAAAAAATAGGGCAGTGGATCAGTGAAGGCTGCCTGAAGGTAGGAAATAATTTAGAGGACCACTTTGAGATTTCTTCCAGTCCAGTGATTTATGTTCAAGACTGGAAAAACTGACTCATTCTACAACCTTTGTGTCCTTGAGTGGTAGTCTTTGTATGCACTCTGAGTTTTTCAGTGAGTCTAAAAAAAATCTCAGACTTGCTCCTTTTAGGGGATTACCTGTAACAATTTTTAGCCAGGTAGTATTTCAGTGTATCATGATAATTGTTCATAATGATTGCTCTGAAGCATCTTAAGAACATACAACTTTTTTGAAATGTCACATTATTCATTCAAAAAGACTTCTTGGGCCTGGCACAGTGGCTCACACCTGTAATCCCAGCACTTTGGGAGGCCAAGGTGGGAGGATGACTTGGGCCCAGGAGTTCAAGACCAGCCTGGGGCAACATAGCAAGACCCTGTCTCTAAAAAATAATAATAATCTATACTAAAAAAGAAAAGAAAAATACTTCTTGAATGTTATATACAAGGAACCATTCCAAGTGGTGGGGATATAGCAGTGAGCAAAAGTGACATCCCTGTCCTCACAGAGTTTGTATTCTAATAGCAAAAGAGGAGTGTAATAAATAAGTTAATCTTAAATGGTGATAAGTGCTATGTAGAGAAATCAAGCAGAGAAAGGGGATAAGAAGTACTGAAGGTGTAGGAAGTGGGGTTGTGGTTTTAAAGAGATGGGTCAGGAAAGGCCTCCCTGAGAAGGTGATCTCTGAGCAAAGACCTAAGGAGGAAAAGGGTGAAGCCATGCAGCATGGGGGAAAAGAGATCTAGGTAATCCGCATATCCAAGTGCCCTAAGCGGGGATAGTGCCTGGTATGTTCCAGAAAGAGCAAGGAGGTCTGTGTGACAGGAATAGAATGAGCACTGAGGTCAAAAGAAATGGCTTTCAGATGGAATGGGCCTTCATAGGGCTTTGCAAAGGCAGAGGCTTTTCCTTGGAGTGAGATGGCAAGTCATTGGAGGGTTCTGAGTAGAAGATTAGGACTTGGGGCTCCTGTGTTGACAATAGATTTAAGGAGGCCAGCATTGAAGTAGGGAGACCAGTTAAGAAGCCATTGCCATACGGCAAAAAGTTAGTGGTGGTGACCTGGACAAGGGTGGGGGTGGTAGTGGTAGCAGCAGCGGTCAGGAGGAATGAGATTCTGCCTGTCTTGTGTAGATAATGCTAATGGCGGGAATATAAGAAAGAAGTGTCAAGGATGATACAAGATTTAAGTTTAAAAAAAAAATTAAGTTCAGTACAATTTGAATGTTAGGAAGAGTGAGAAATGTTAGTTTTTAATTCTTTGAAAATGATCCTCTTACAGGAACTGTCTCTAACTAGAATAATAATAATGGGTGTTTGGTAATTCCAAACACCCATTTCCAACAGGCCAAATAAAATGTGTTATATATTAGTAAAGTTTTCTTTCTTTCTTTCTTTCTTTTTTTTTTAAGACAGTCTTGCTCTGTCGCCCAGGCTGGAGTGCAATGGCACGATCTCAGCTTACTGCAACCTCTGCCTCCTGGGTTCACTGGGTTCAAGTGATTCTCCTGCCTCAGCCTCCTGAGTATCTGAGATTACAGGCACCCACCACAATGCCCGGCTAATTTTTATGTTTTTAGTAGAGATGGGGTTTCACATGTTGGCCAGGCTGATCTCTATCTCCTGATCTCAGGTGATCAGCCTGCCTTGGCCTCCCAAAGTGCTGGGATTACACAACGTGAACCACCACGCCCAGCCATAGTAAAAATCTGTAAGTTTTTCAATTAAGTCACAAATCAAAAAAATTTCAGATTATGTGCGGAGATGTTTTTAATAACAGCTTTGAGATATAATCCACATACCATACAATGTACTTAAAGTGTATAATTCAGTGATTTTCAGAATATTCAGAGTTGTGCAATCATCACTGCAATCAATTTTAGAACATTTTTATCACCCCTTTAAAATCCCATTAGCGGTCAATCCCCTTTCACTCCATGGTCCAAATTCTCCCCACCCCCAACTACAAATCTACTTTTTGGCTAGGCAAGGTGGTACACACCTATAATTGCAGCACTTTGGGAGCCCAAGGTGGGAGGACTACTTGAGCCCAGGAGTTCAAGAACAGCTTGGGAGACTCTGCCTCTACAAAAAAAAAATCTTTTTTTTTTTTTTTTTTTGAGATGGAGTCTCAGTGTGTCACCCAGGCTGGAGTACAGTGACGCGATCTCGGCTCACTGCAACCTCTGCCCCCTGGATTCAAGCGATTCTCCTGCCTCAGCCTCCCGAGTAGCTGGGATTACAGGTGCCCACCACCACACCCAGCTAATTTTTGTATTTTTAGTAGAGATGGGGTTTCACCATATTGGCCAGGCTGGTGTCAAACTCCTGACTTCGTGATCCACCGGTCTTGGCCTCCCAAAGTGCTGGGATTACAGGCGTGAGCCACCGTGCCTGGCCTAAAAGAAATTTTTTTTTGTTTAAGTTAGCTGGGTGTGGTGGCTCACATCTGCAGTCCCAGCTACTCTGGAAGCTGAGGTGGGAGAATCACCTGAGCCTAGAAGGTTGAGGCTGCAGTGAGCCATGATCATGTTACTGCACTCCAGCCTAGGTGAAAGATGTCTCAAAAAAAACATACAAACCCCAAATCTACTTTTTACCTATTCTGGATATATCATATAAACGGAACCATAGCTGTTGTGGTCTTTTGTGACTTGCTTCTTTGACTTGGCATAATATTTTCAAGGTTTATTGCCAAATAATATTCCATTGTATGGCTATATACTACATTTTATTTACCCAATCATAAATTGATGGCCTTTTGTTTTGTTTTGTTTTGACTTTTTGGCTATTGTAAGTAATGCTGCTATAAACATTTGTGTAGTTTTCGTATAAATGTGTTTTCATTTATTTTTGATAAATACCCAGTAATAAAATTGCTGGGTTGTATGAACTCCATTAAACTGAGGGGCTGGGTGCAATGGCTCATGTCTGTAATCCCAACACTTTGGGAGGCTAATGTGGGAGGATTGCTTGGGCCCAGAAGTTCAAGACCAGCCTGAGCAACATGGCAAATCTTTAAAAAAAAAAAAAAAAAAAAAAAAAAAACGAAAATTAGCCAACCATGATAGCACGTCTGTGGTCCCAGCTACTTGGGAGACTAAGGCGGGAGAATTGCTTGAACCAGGGACCTTGAAGCTGCAGTGAGCTATGATCACACCACTGCACTCCAGCCCAGGTGACAGTGAGGCCCTGTCTCAAAAAACAAAAAAACAACTGAGGAACTACCAGACTGTTTTCCAAAGAGGCTGCACTGTCTTGCATTCCCACGAGCAGTGTTTGAGGGTTCTAGTTTCTCTAGATTCTCACCAATACTTGTTGCTATATATATATTTTTTTATTATAGCCATCCTGTTGGCTGTGAAGTGGTTTTGATTTGCATTTCCCTAATGACTAACATTGAGCATCTTTTCATGTGCTTATTGGCCATTTGTATATCTTCTTTGGAGAAATGTCTATTCAGATTCTCTGCCTATTGTGCTAGATTTTTTTATTCAGGAAAATGATCACTTTACCTTGTAGATATGTTACAGAGATAGGCAGCCCTGCTTGTAAACCTTCATCAGGATCCTAGAATACATAATACCTCTATTATGTTAGGTAGGTTAGGAGCATAGGACCCTTTGGCGGGAATTCAGGGCCATTCATTTTACATCTATTGAACAACTACTATGCGTTAGGGTGTGGTAAAATGAAGATGAATAAGACGTGGTGGTCCTTGCCCTTGAGTTTATGGTCTACTAGGGGCCTGGGGGGGAAATGGCAAGTGAGTGACAAGTCCACAGGTCTCCAGAGAAGGTGGTGGCAGATAGAAGGAACTGAACATACAAAGCACGGTGGCATCAGAAAATGAGGGCTGCATGTGGTTTATGGAGGGGCACTGTTCAGGGAATGCCCAGGAAGTTCAGTTGGCTGGAAACTTGGGGAGTGACAAGTGGCAGAGATTAGCAAACTCGGAGAGAGGTTTAGAAGGCCTTTCCACGGAAGGTGGTTGAACTATTTACTGAGGGCAATGGGACCTTTGAAGGGGAGTAGTTAAGCAGGGAGCTGATGGGATTTGTTGTTATGAACAACTAGCTAGCTGTTCTGTGGAGATTGGCTGGGCAGGGGTAGGGCTGTCAGATTGAGGAGACTGGTATACTTAAGTAATGACCTTCAGAACAGTGCCCCCGGCTGGCCTGTCTGGAAGCCAGGGTTTTGCATCCAGATCGAATATTGGCCACAGATTGGATCTTAAAAGTTATTTTTAACAAAATGCTAATATTAGGATTTTTACTTGTGCATTCTTGTGTCTTCAAAATGAAGTGCAAAAGGAGTGTTTGCCTGGGGAAGCTCTTTAGTTGGACTTTAGTTGAGATTATGTTAAGTAAATGCCTTACTGTTAACATTTCTTTTTTTCTTTTTCTGTTGGACTTGAACCGTTAACATTTCTAAAGTGAAGGGAGTACAGTAAATTCTTTTAAACATTTGTCAGTATTTGGGTCTTGGTATGGCCATCTGGTATAGGCAACAGGTACTTGTGTAGAAATGTTTCTTCAACAAGAACAGGCAACCTCTAAACTGGGATTCCGTGGCTGGAGATATTTTGGATGTGAACGTATTAATAGCTTTGGAGAGACACATTGTTAGAGATCTAGGCTGGTGACTTGTAGAACCACCGAAAGCTCTGAGACAGAAAGGGGCTAATGAAAGTCTCTAGCTCCAATTGGGTGTGGACGGCACACAAACAGCTAAGTGTTTAAGTGATTTGCTGCAGGCTTCTCAGCTGACTGGAAGCAGAGAACATCTAGATTGCAGTTTCTCTGGTGCCAGGGCAGTCTTAGTTGTCCTGTTATATCTAAGAAAAGGGAGAAAAATTTCTATTCTTTAAATGTTCTGTAAATCAGACTAATGGTTCTAATTTTTAAAGTAAACTTTTCTTAAAAGATACAGAAGCCAGTTAAATTTGTATTTTAGATAAATAATTTTTTGTTAAAATAAGCTTTTGGTAATTGAAGAATAACATACATTCAGAAACATACAGAAATCAAGTGTAAACTCAGTGAATTTTTCACAGTTGATGCACCTGTGTAAGCAGCAACCCAGAAGTCCTCTACCAGTCACTGCCTCCTCTGAGCCAAAAGAGCCACTATCCTGACTTCTGAAAGCATAGATTAGTTTGGCCTGATTTTTTGTTTGTTTTCATTTTTGAGATAGGATGTTGCTTTGTTGCTCGGGCTGGAGTGCAGTGATCACAGCTCACTGCAGCCTCATCCTCCCATGCTCAAGCAATCCTCCCACCTCAGCCTCCTGAGTAGCTGGGACTATAGGCATATGCCACTGCTCCCAGCTAATTTTTTTTTTTTTTTTATAGACACAGAGTCTCACTGTTGCCCAGGATGATCTCAAACTCCTGGGCTCAACCAATCCTCCTGCCTCGGCCTTGCAAGGTCCTAGGAATATAGGCGTGAACTACCACGCCTGACCAGTTTTGCCTGTTTTTGAACTTTATGTCAATGGAATCACATAGTGATACACACTTGCGTATCTGGTGGCTTTTGCTCAACCTAAAGTGTTTTTTTTTTCTTCCTCTTCCCCTTACAACTTTTTTTTAAGTTGTTTGACTTCATTAAAAAAATGAAAAGATTTGAGGTATAATTCATACACAGTAAAACGGACTCACTTTACAGGTAGTTTCAATTGTATACTGTTATATAATCACCATCAAGATCTAGAACTATTTCATCACCCCAAAAAGGTAAAATTTAAAAATAAATAAATAAAATAGAAAAATAATAATGGCTTTCCATGTCATGTGTAGTGTGTTCATTTCCTTTTTTGAGACAGTTTCGCTCTGTTGCCCAAGCTGGAGTTCAGCGGTACGGTCTTTGCTCACTGCAACCTCGGCTCACTGCAAACCCCACTTCCTGGGTTCAAGTGATTCTCCTGCTTCAGCCTCCCCAGTAGCTGGGATTACAGGCGCACCACCACACCCAGCTACTTTTTTGTGTTTTTAGTAGAGATGGGGTTTCCCCATGTTGGCCAGGCTGGTCTCAAACTCCTAACCTCAAGTGATCCGTTCCCCTTGGCCTCCCAGAGTGCTGGAATTATAGGTGTGAGCCACAGCACCCAGCCAGTTTGTTCATTTTCATTGCTGTATTATTGCACGGTAGGAATGTACTATTCGTTCTGTTGATAGACATCTAGGCTGTTTCTGTTTCCATAATATTATGAGTAGTGCTTCTCTAACCATTCTCATATGTGTCTTTGGTGAAGGTATGTGTTCATTTCTGCTAGGTATGTATGTAGAGGTAGAACTGCTGAGTTCAGCTTTAGTAGATAGACTGCCAACAGTTTTTAAAATAGTTGTACCAATTTACACTATGCCATCAGCATATGAAAGTTCTCACTTTTCTATATACTTACCAACACTTAATGTTGTCTTTTTAACTTTAGCCATTCTTTGAGCTGCTAGTTGTAATTTAAGAAGAATGGGCTGGGCGAGGTGGCTCATGCCTGTAATCCCAGCACTTTGGGAGGCCGAGGCAGGTGGATCACTTGGGGTCAGGAGTTCGAGACCAGCATGGCCAACATGGTAAAACCCCATCTCAACGGCTTTTTAACTTTAGCCATTCTTTGAGCTGCTAGTTGTAATTTAAGAATACTAGGCTGGGCGCAGTGGCTCTTGCCTGTAATCCCAGCACTTTGGGAGGCCAAGGCGAGTGGGTTTTTGTGTTTTTGTAAAAATACAAAAATTAGCTGGGCGTGGTGGCGCATGCCTGTGATCTGAGCTACTTGGTAGGCTGAAGCAGGAGAATCACTTGAACCTGCCAGGTGGAGGTTGCAGTGAGCTGAGATCATGCCACTGCACTCCAGCCAGGGCAACAGAGTGACACTCTGTCTCAAAAAAAAAAAAAAAGAAGAAGAAGAACGAAAAAATAAATAAAATAAAAAGGCCAGGCACGGTGGCTCACATATGTAATCCTAGCACTTTGGGAGGCTGAGGAGGGAGGATCACTTGAGGCTGGGAATTCGAGACCCGCCTGGCCAACATGGCAAAACCCCATCTCTACTAAAAATACAAAAATTAGTTGGGCGTGGTAGCGCGTGCCTGTAGTCCCACCTATTCGGGGGCTAAGTCAGGAGAATCATTTGAACGCAAAAGGTGGAAGTTGCAGTAAGCCAAAATCGCACCACTGCACTCCAGCCTAGGCGACAGAGCAAGACGCTGTGTCAAAAAAGAAAAATACAAAAAAACCCCCAAAAATAGTAATAAGTTGCCAGATATTTTTGTAGGAGTTTCTTACCAGCAAGTTCTTGTGTTAGTTTATTTTACCAACATTTTTGTCTGATTTTTCTTTAGTAAAAGTATTTATAATTCTGTATTATACTTCCATAGGTAGATCATTGTTGAAAGTCCAGAAGGTTGAGCTTCCATGATGTAATATGATATGAAATCTTGCATTGCTAGTGGTATTTGGTAGGAAAAGGGATGGGGAGTGGTTAAAGGTGAATTAAGCTGAATGCCTGTTTTCAATTTGTTTTTTTCTCGAGGCCACGGAGAAGTCAGTCTTTTTAGTTCTTGAAAATAGTGCTTTTAGTCCGGAGGCTGTGACTGATGTAACTAACAGGTCTTAGGTTTTGGTTTTCAGTGAGGTGCTGGCGGAGGAGTCCATAGTATGTCTGCAGAAAGCCCTAAATCACCTTCGAGAAATATGGGAGCTAATTGGGATTCCAGAGGACCAGCGGTTACAAAGAACTGAGGTGGTAAAGAAGCATATCAAGGTGGGTTGAATAGTACTGGTCTCTGCATTGGACCTGGGTAAGGATGTTGGTGTCTCACCCGAGATAGCATGCAGAAGGGACATGTGATCATCGGCATTGGGATAGCACAGGCTCTTCCTGTTTGGTTTGGTTTGGTTTTGAAGTCCCTTCTTGAAATTTGAGGAGGCTGGGAGCGGTGCCTCACGCCTGTAATCCCAGCACTTTGGGAGGCCAAGGCATGTGGATTGCTTGAGGTCAGGAGTTCAAGACCAGCCTGATCAACATGGTGAAACTCCATGTCTACTAAAAATACAAAAATTAGCCAGGCATGGTGGTGAGCACCTGTAATCCCAGCTACTCGGCAGGCTGAGACAGGAGAATCTATTGAACCTAGGAGGTGGAGGTTGCAGTGAGCCGAGAACGTGCCATTGCACTTCAGCCTGGGCAACAGAGTGAGACTCCGTCTCAAAAAAAAAAAGAAAAAAGAAATTTGAGGAGTTTGGTATTGGTGTTGGGAGGCTTTTTTCTCCATTGCCCCAAACTTACGGACTGTTTTCCCTCTTGTAGGAACTCCTGGATATGATGATTGCTGAAGAGGAAAGCCTGAAGGAAAGACTCATCAAAAGCATATCCATCTGTCAAAAAGAGCTGAGCACGCTGTGCAGCGAGTTACGTGTTGAGCCATTTCAGGTCCGTGGCAGCCCACAGGGTCTCTGGGGATCTGTCTGAGGCCTGAGATTTAGGAAGTAGCGTTGACTTGGGCCTGCAGATGGAAGGCTTCCTCATAGGGATGGAGCTAGACATGAGAAGTGGGGAAAACATGCTGGGCGTAATTAGGCCCAGCAGAGTAATTCTCACCTCTGTAGAGAGTTGCCCTGGTAAGAGGTGAAACAACTAATAGATGATCAAAAAGAAGCTGCTGTTTACCATAGTTTTGCTTTGTAGGGAATATTAATTTTTTTTAATAAACTCTGAGAAAAAGGTAGGCATAGATGGTGCTGCACTGTTCTTTCTCTGAAAGAAAATGAAAACAGGAACAAAGTAATGATAAAAAGGAATACTACGAAAAAAACAAATCTTTGTGGGTTTTATCATACCCAGAAGCTGCATACCACTGAACCAGCCAAAATAGCTACTTCAGAAGAAATGTCTCAAAAGCTGGAATATTGGGAGTGCATAGTCCAGTTCAGAGCATGCCATGACATCCATCTGGGTATGGAGCTGAGAAGTGGTTATATTGTGGTCCACTGCAAGTCAGGGACTTGAGTGAGGACACCAGAAAGGATGAAATGAATAACAGATGGGGTCCTGAAAAATCTCTGCTTAGAACCAGTAAAAACAGTGCCAGGATCATAAAAATTCAGACAGATGTGGAGCTTGGTAAGGTAATGAGTACATCCATAAGGTTCTCAGGTCCCTCTTCCTGTTACAGGAAGACCTGCCTGGGTATCTATTTGGAGTTAGCTTAGGAGGGAGACCACCTTTAAAGGGCAAAGGATAATTCATACCTGGTAGCCAAGAGCAATCAGGCAGAAGAGAACATGAAGTGGAGCTTCCTGGAGTCAACATAAATTTCATAAATATAATTGATTTTGGACATAGTTTCTCTTTTTTCACATTCAATGTGAAATTGGGCGAGAAGTGAGGTGTACGATGATATATCTCCCTTAAGTTGCCTGATATTCCTAGTTCACAATGTTAAATGAAATTGTGTAAATTTATAGGACATATAGGAAAAATTTTTATGTCCTATAAAAAATGCCACTTTTTTTTTCTTGTTAACCAATTAGGAGCAGAGCAGGGACTACCAGAAGGGTTTTTGTTGGTAAGGTGAGACGATGTTCATAGGATTAGCAGGGTGAGTATTTAGATATGAGCTAGGCATGCCACCCTACAGCTAACCCAAAGGAAGCTTTCCAGCCAATTTACGCATTTATTTATTTATTTATTTAGAGACAGAGTCTCGCTGTGTTGCCCAGGCTGGAGTGCAACGGTGCAGTCTCGGCTCACTGCAACCTCCGCCTCCCGGGTTCAAGCGATTCTCCTGCCTTAGCCTCCCAAGTAGCTGGGATTACAGGTGCCCGTCACCATGCCTGGCTAATTTTTCTATTTTTAGTAAAGAGGGGGTTTCACCATGTTGGCCAGGCTGATCTCCAACTGCTGACCTCGTAATCCCAAAATGCTGGGATTATAGGTGTGAGCCAGCGTGCCTCCCAAAGTGCTGGGATTATAGGTGTCAGCCACCGTGCCTGGCTGCCAACTTACACTTTTTATAAAAGTGCCTAGTGCCTGGAGTAGTCTAATCATAGAGAGAAAAGGTAGAATGGTGGTTGTCAGGCTTGGAGAAAGGAAAAAAATGGGGACTTATTGTTTGAGTATGAAGTTTCACTTTTGCAAGAGGAAATGAGTTTTGGAGGTGATAGTCATGATTGCACAGCAGTATGACTGTACTTAATACCACTGAACTGTACACTTAATGGTTAAGATGATAAATTTTATGTTATATGTATTCTTTTTTTTTTTCGAGACGGAGTCTCGCTCTGTCGCCCAGGCTGGAGTGCAGTGGCGCTATCTGGGCTCACTGCAAGCTCTGCCTCCCTGGTTCACGCCATTCTCCTGCCTCAGCCTCCCAAGTAGCTGGGACTACAGGCGCCTGCCACCTCGCCCGGCTAGTTTTTTGTATTTTTTTTAATTAGAGATGGGGTTTCACCGTGTTAGCCAGGATGGTCTCAATCTCCTGACCTGGTGATCCGCCCGTCTCGGCCTCCCAAAGTGCTGGGATTATAGGCTTGAGCCACGGCGCCCGGCCTATGTTACATGTATTCTACCACAAGTTTTAAAATTGGAGGAAAAAGTACCCTATTCACCTTTCCTCACTGGGACCTTCCTTTGGAAACCCTCTTTATGCCATATTCTGTTGACCATGAGTTGACTTACTTGTAAGTTTAACTTAAAGTCTGTCATCCAAGCCTTCTTATGTTATCCTTCTCTTCCTTTGAAGGAATTCACTTGGAATCTTGTAACAGTGGTACATTGTCTTATTCAGGAAGAAGGAGAGACAACCATCTTGCAACTAGAAAAAGATTTGCGCACCCAGGTGGAATTGATGCGAAAACAGAAAAAGGAGAGAAAACAGGAACTGAAGCTACTTCAAGAGCAAGATCAAGAACTGTGTGAAATTCTTTGTATGCCCCGCTACGATATTGACAGTGCCTCAGTGCCCAGCTTAGAGGAGCTGAACCAGTTCAGGCAACATGTGACAACTTTGAGGGAAACAAAGGTACACTGCCTACATTTGTACTTCCTAAAAACCACTTTGGTTTTCCTCTAGGTATCTTGTAATTGCTTTGTTTTAAAGGCTTCTAGGCGTGAGGAGTTTGTCAGTATAAAGAGACAGATCATACTGTGTATGGAAGAATTAGACCACACCCCAGACACAAGCTTTGAAAGAGATGTGGTGTGTGAAGACGAAGATGCCTTTTGTTTGTCTTTGGAGAATATTGCAACACTACAAAAGTTGCTACGGCAGGTACTGTCTTCTCAAATTGTGCCCTAGGATCTCCATAGTATGTAGTTTGAAAAAAACTGACAGCTGTTTCTTCAGTCTTAAATAAGGAGACAATGTAAGATGAGAGAATGAGGGAAGATAAGGATAGTAATATATGATATACAACCTTGATTTTTGTTTACTAGTTAAAAAAGCTTTATATGTAGCTCCAAGAAAATGAAATTATAGATGAAATAACATTAGTCATTTGAATTAGATTAGTGTTTAATTAAAATTGTTTTCAGTTCTAAATTTGAATGCTAATTCTTGGAGTCCGAGATCCTGACAGCCTTACAGCTTGTGTTTAGGAGGCATGAAAACATGCTACTTTGAGGTCTCATGAAAGTGCCTCCTCTACCCGTGGGTCCAGACGTTTCTTTGCGGGAGGCCAGAGGGCTAGCCTCTGTGCTGCTGCTTTGCTGTGAGTGACACTGGCTTTCTGTGCTGTAGCTGGAAATGCGGAAATCACAAAATGAAGCAGTGTGTGAGGGGCTGCGTGCTCAAATCCGAGAGCTCTGGGACAGGTTGCAAATACCTGAAGAAGAAAGAGAAGCTGTGGCCACCATTATGTCTGGGTCAAAGGCCAAGGTCCGGAAAGCGGTAAGAAACTCAATGGGTACTGGGTCAGAGTCTTCTCTTAGCAATTCTGTGTTAGTCATAAAGACTGTTGATTTGGCCTGGCGCAGTGGTTCATGCCTCTAATCCCAGCACTTTGGGAGGCTGAGGTGGGTGAATCATTTGAGATCAGGAGTTCGAGACCAGCCTGGACAACATGGCGAAACCCTGTATCTACTAAAAATACAAAAATTAGCCAGGCGGTAGTGGCACATGCCTGTAATCCCAGCTACTTGGGAGGCTGAGACAGGAGAATCGCTTGAGCCTGGGAGGCGGAGGGGTGTAGTGAGCCAAGGTCGTGCCACTGCATTCCAGTCTGGGCGAGAGAGTGAGGCTGTGTCTCAAAAAAAAAAAAAATATTGATTTATAACACCTTTGTGGCTTTGCATTATAATTTTACTTAAAAGGGAGGGAACTTTTGCAAACTTTAGTGAATATAAAAGTATGACAGCCACCTTTAACAAGTTTCTTTCTTTCAGCTGCAATTAGAAGTGGATCGGTTGGAAGAACTGAAAATGCAAAACATGAAGAAAGTGATTGAGGCAATTCGAGTGGAGCTGGTTCAGTACTGGGACCAGTGCTTTTATAGCCAGGAGCAGAGACAAGCTTTTGCCCCTTTCTATGCTGGTTAGTACAGGAGTGAGGTCTTTGGTTTGTTTGTTTGTTTGGAGACAAGTCTTACTCTGTTGCCCAACCTGGTCTCAAATTCCTAGGCTCAAACAGTCCTCCTACCTCGGCCTCCCAAAGTGTTGGGCCACCACACCCAGTCAAAAGTGTGGTCTTCCTGTGGCCTGCTCACTAGTTTTTAAGACATCCAGACATTCAACAGGAAGTATTTCCTCTTCTGAACAGATAAAGCCACCTTTTCAAGACATTTAGCATAATTGCCATTCCTGTATGAAAAAGTATTTGCAAATATTATTGGGAAATACTCGTTTCTTGCTTTCTGAAGCAATATGTTACTGTAGCTTCTAGCTGTGAAGCTTAAGTTTTTATCAGGTGCTTACTTTTTGCAGGTGCAGTGTCAAACCCTTAATATTATTTCACAGAATCCTCATGTCAAGAGCTAAGGATACTAAAGCACATAAATACTGAGTAACTTAACCCAGAGACATACAGTGGTAAATGCCAGAGCCTATGTTTGGGCCAAAAGGAGCTTGACTCCTGGAGCCCAGTGGATTTCTAGTCTGAACTGAACTGAATATAAAGATGAAGCTATCCCAACTAAATTCAACAGATGTTTTTGCACATTTTCTGTGATCCACCCCTCTACTGGCTGGGCAAGACAGAAAAGAAGAATATGAAAGAAACCGAAGACAAGGCAAGAGATGATGCAGATTTTTGACAACATTATTTTAGTCTCTATCCTAGTCTCTTAGGCCCTAGTCCCTCAGGCCGATTGTGACAAACCTGGTTTTTATTAACCACTATGTATCTATTACACACACACACATGCCTCTTCCTGTATCAGTTTACTATAAGGAAAGAATCTATTTCCATTTTAGGGAATGGATGATTTGTAAAATTGGATACTAAACACTAGAGGAATTGTTTTAAACTACTGGGCCTATATTTTGCAGAGGACTACACAGAAAATCTGCTCCAGCTCCATGATGCTGAGATTGTGCAGTTAAAAAACTACTATGAAGTTCACAAGGAACTCTTCGAAGGTGTCCAGAAGTGGGAAGAAACCTGGAGGCTTTTCTTAGAGTTTGAGGTATTGCCCTAGTTTTTGTGTTTTTGTTAAGAAACCATGCCATGTACGGAATCAGTCCAGTTAGCTTTGTTCTTTGCCAGGCTTTTGATACCCCATCTTTAAGTCTCTCTAAATTTCTGCTGACCCCTCTATTTGGTAAGCTTATCTGCAGGGTCTTGTAAGAGGAAAGCCCAAAATTAATGGCTTAAATAAGGTTGGCATTTCCTGCATGAATGAGGTTCAGAGGTGGGCAGTATGGGGCAGGCATAGCAGATCTGCACAGTGAGCAGGGCCCCAGGCTTCTCCGGCCCAGGACGCTCCCCCACCACTAAGGGTGGACCTTATTCTCAGGGCCAGGATGGCTGCTACTAGAGCTTCCACCCTGATGGCACTTTTTTTTTTTTTTTTTTTTTTTTTTTTTTTTTTTTTGGAGGTGGAGATTTGCTGGTCACCCAGGCTGGAGTGCAATGGCGCGATCTTGGCTCACCACAACCTCCACTTCATGGGTTGAAGCAATTCTTCTACCTCAGCCTCCCCAGTAGCTGGGATTACAGGCATGTGCCACCATGCCCAGCTAATTTTGTATTTTTAGTAGAGACAGGGTTTCACCATGTTGGCCAGGCTGGTCTCAAATTCCTGACTTCAGGTGATCCGTCCATCTCGGCCTCTTAGAGTGCTGGGATCACAGGCGTGAGCCACTGCGCCTGGCCCCTGATGGCACATTTCAGACAGTGTGGTGGAGGAGGAACAAAGAAGGCATTGCCCCTCACTCCTTCAAGAGCTCTTCCTGGCTCTCTTCACAGCACCGTGGCTCACATGCTGTCAGCTGCTGGTGAGGCTGGGTGAATTGCTGCCCCAGGTAAATTCTGGTTCTGTTACTAAGGAAGGAGAGAAGAATGGATGTTGGGGCAGGCAACTAACATATTCTACCATTCCAGCTTTTGCTATTTACTTAGAAAATTGCATGGGTATTGATTCCTTTCCTTCTGATAGGCAGCACGGATGGGTTCCTTCAGAGCATTTTAGAGCTCAGGGACTATGGTGAGGCAAGTGAGGCGTGTAGGGCACAGATTGAGGGACACCTTGTTCTTGGATTCATGCTGGCCCTGTTAGAGCTCACAGGGCCTTCAGAGAATCTGAATTCAACTCCTTCAAGTTTACAGGCGGCAAACTAGAACTCAGAAGTGGAGAGAACTATGGGATATCTTACAGCTGTTTAAGAACAGATGTCTTTGTCCTCAGTTATTCTTTACTTCTGGTTACAACAAAAAGAAGAGTAAACATAAATAAGGAGGCCGGGCACGGTGGCTCATGCCTGTAATCCCAGCACTTTGGGAGGCCGAGGCAGGCGGATCACAGGTCAGGATATCAAGTTCATCCTGGCTAACATGGTGAAACCCTGTCTGTAATAAAAAAATACAAAAAAATTAGCCAGGCATGGTGGTGGGCGCTTGTAGTCCCAGCTACTTGGGAGGCTGTGGGAGAAGAATGTCATGAACCCAGGAGCCGGGGAGCTTGCAGTGAGTCCAGATCAAGGCACTGCACTCCACCCTGGGTGACAAAGCAGGACTCCATCTCAAAAAAAAAAAACCATAAATAAGGAGCTAAGGCAGCAACCTTTGTTGACATGCCAGTATTTAAGAAGAAAACAAGAAATGAATTACCATCCTGTCTAGTAACGATTGGCTATCACCAATCAAGCAGTATGGAAGGGAAACAATTTAATTTTCAAGAATGTCTTCTAAATTTTTCTGCTTATGTGCCCCTATTTTTGAGTATACATACCTAATTTATAATTACAAGCTATATACTTGCATTACTGTTCTGATAGACTATATATGTTCTAAAAGAAAACACATGCTGGTCCAAGAGTAGTGACGTTGATAACTCAGTGATCACAGCCAGTTACAGATTTGTTCCTGTCCCACTGCATTACTTGACTAGAGAGAAGACGACAGTAAAAAACAGAAAAGTTAATAAAAAGTTAAAAAGGATGAGAAGCTTTAACTATTTATTTTTATTTATTTATTTATTTTTTTGAGTCTCACTCGTTGCTCAGGCTGGAGGGTAGTGGCGTGATCTCGGCTCACTGCACGCCACCCGGGTTCAAGTGATTCTCCTGCCTCAGTCTCCCGAGTAGCTGGGACTACAGGTGACTGCTACCAGGCCCACTAATTTTTTTACTCTTAGTAGAGATGGGGTTTCACCATGTTGG